ATAATGACCACTGTTTGAATGGTGAGGTCGACACTGAAGAAGAAGAACAGGTTTGAGGTCATCATGCAGACTTTAGTCACCCTTGACTTACATCACTATGAAGGTTGTCATAGCGACCTTGACCGTGTCTGGATCTCGTGTCCAGACTTTTAGCTGGTCATGTCGATCCCTAGATTGGGTAAATGAGCTAGGGCATGGGAACGGAGATGGGAGCTATATACAGAGGGTTGAGCTGATGATAGGGGTGTGAGAGATGGCTAAAAGAGGGATGGAGAGAGAGGGGAGAAGGAGAGGGAGAGAGGTAGGAGGAAGGTAAGAAGGGGCGATTGAGAGCAACAAAGTGCATTGAGAGAGAAAGATAGAATGCGAAAATATCAAAAGGAGAGAGAGAGAGAGAGAGAGAGAGAGAGAGAGAGAGAGAGAGAGAGAGAGAGAGAGAGAGAGAGAGAAATTAAGAGAGAGAGAGGGGAGAGAAGGGGGTATTAAACTAGGGTACAGAAAAAAACAAAGGAAGAGCAAGGATAGCCGAGATGGAATTTAATTACACACATTATAATAAATATAAAGGATAAACCATATCGTGAAAGGGACAAGATAATTATGAAAGAAGAGAACTAAATGAAATCATGTAGCTTCATCAGAAACAGTTGCTTCAGGCTACCTATGCATAATTCATTTTATCCACAGCGGTAATTTACTTAACACGCATATCCGTCTACGGGAAATCCCCCTGGGAAACATTTACTTTGCAATTTACACCCAGGGCTTAATTCGAGGGTTGAAATCTTCAGGAGACAATTGCTGAGACAGTGGCGGTGTCATCCTGGTTCATCACATGACGTCATTGTTACCTTAACCTTTTATTTTCTCAATTAAACTGTCGACTAACTCATTTGTTGAAATAAAACATTTGGCAACATGTGGCCCGGAGAGGCGTCACTGTACACGCTGCAGGCGGCAGGAGAAAACGAACATTGTAGATGGAGTACTTACAAATTAAGCTCATTTTTGGATCTTAAAGGGAAATTCAACCTTGATAACAATCTACTAGAGGAAAGAAGAAAATTCAGAAACGTAGACTGACAGTTTGAATGAAATCGGACACAACAATTAGAAAGTTCTGAATTTGTTGAAGTTGATATCCTTTTAGGTATGAGCTCTTTAAATTGGCTGAATCGGTAATGTCTCAGTGATGTAGTGGCGTACAACTTTCCCATCTGTTCCAACAAACAAAATTACTAACATTTCAATTTTTTGTTTTCCAAAAATCTACGACTCAGGAAGATCTATTCTTTTTAAAGGACCTGTACTGATATGCTATCCATAACATATTTAGAGTAGTGCCCCAAGTAGGAATGCAAATACGAGAAAACAGAAATTTATCATATTTTTGTACACGACAAACGGGAGAGTTAATCGCGACTACGTCACCAAAAACTGCCAATTTGAGTGATCTCATATTTCAAACATTCATAACTTTCTTATTTTTTATCGCAAACTTTCGTCATTCTTTTTAAATTATTTTTTCTGTCTTCATACAAATTAAGTTATTACTAGGGTTGGATTACCCTTTAAGTTGATATTACTTTTACCTGTACCTTATGAAGTGAAATGTTATATTTACAAAATCATCGATTTTCTACGCCTGAGACATACAATACAATTACTATCAATTTCGTTTCAAATGAAAGTCATGTCAAAATTTATATTCCTGGTTTGAAATAGCTATGATCAGGATCTAAAATCTGCCTTTTGTGTCGAAGAAAAATAAATAAAAACAATAAAATAAAACAAAAAGAAAAGATATAAAATAAAACAATAACAGAATAGGTGTATTAAAATCCCGTTGTGATCGCGAAGACTCTTTCCCCTAAAAAGAAGAAGAAAAATAAGGGGGCATGGGTATAACGTTTAGCCGTCCAAGGGCAAGGCGATTGAGCGTCATTTTACAACAGATGAAACCTAATTACGTCCATGATATCTATTTGATATTGGTTCATAAGTTTAGACCATCCTTAGAATAGAGGTTCTGCGAATCCGGGTCAAGGAACGAGTATAGTCTCGGCCAGACAGCTAGGGGTACTCGAAAAAAAATAATCTTAATTTGTCGTCTGTCCTTCGACGTAAATGTCTGAATTTGTCTATGTTTTCAATAATATCGTATCATAATTATTAGCAGAAATATTGTATGAATTTTTCCCAAGGACGCGGGATGATGTATTCCAACCTTCATTCTATATTCCCTCATTCGGTCCAGATTGGAGACACGAGAATCATTTGATTGGTACGACAATTGGGGCAATCAAACAGAGAAATACCACCCACCAACTGATTTCGAGCTCCTTGTCCGAGTTTGCCTATAAATGCAAAGACTCTTTGTACACAATGCTCAAAATGATTGTATCACAAAATACTTCCACCCCAACAAAAAATACTCACAATAATGAATTATCTAATTATTTATCAGATACATACAGTTCACAGAGGATGACGGATACATTTCTGTTCGTGTTGAGTTAGTCATTTTTATAAAAGCGATGAATTTAATGCGACCATATTAGCCCAGCCACTTACTGAGTAGATTGGAAATGACATTGGGTTTTGTGGCGTATAGTTAACGGGGGGGGGGGGGGGGCGGGGGGGGGGGGGCATGAGCTTACTATGTGTGTATTATAAATGTGAGTGACCAAGAGCGACAGGACGAGTGGTGTAGAACATGAAAGATACCTCTATTTTGGCTCTTTTAAAAATAATTTCTATTTATTGGGCGTCATTTGAATGAGAAAAATTAGGGTTTGCGCCCCTCATATTGCTACTTAACTAAATGGGTAGACATATTTTCATTCGTTGTCATACAACCGACTGCGCCCGGTATGTTGTTCGTTATAGGCTTGTCATGGTTCAATCATCCACAGCCCCTCCTCCTATTAGCGCAGACGTACCTCTAGCTCTGATCGTGGAAAGTAGGATTTCTGGGGCATCAGTCTGACTCAGGCACGCCCGAGTTGAGATATGAATGAATATATTTGGATTTCTAGCCCAATTTATTTGATCTGACTGAGGTCCCGTCGAGGTGGTCTAAGGATTATGATCCAGATGACTTCATCGAGCTTTACAAATGTTTATATGGGTCACCATGACAAGAGCACGATTCATCATTAAGGGTTCGGAATGGGGAAGGGAAGTTTGGTTTTGAATCTAGAAGTTTTGTCGATCTTTGGTGAAGTCAACCATCGACATTCAACCATCTCAATTTATCTCAATTTACGTTTCATCTGAATTTATGTATATTGTATGTTCGTCATTTTAAAGATTTGCAAGATAAAGGGCATTAATTGCACTAAAGGCTTGAGTCCCAATTAGGAGGAGAAAGAGCATGGTCCTCTTAATCCTTTGGAGATATACGTGAAGAAAAAGAAGAAGAGTAAGAAGAAGAAGAATATACAATCACAAAGTGTATTCCCAAGGAGTTTCAAATGTAGAGAGAGGGAGGGGGAAGGAGAGAGAGAGAGAGAGAGAGGAGAGAGAGAGAGAGAGAGAGAGAGAGAGAGAGAGTGTGTGTGTGAGAGAGAGAGAGAGAGAGAAAGAGAGAGAGAGAGAGAGAGAGAGAGGGAGGGAGGTCTGATTTTTTTTTTTGGGGGGGGGGGGCGGGGGCAAGTAGTCACGGCTATTACATCTTCTGAGCAGTGACTTTGAATGATTTGGGTTTCAAACATCACTGCTGACATTGCAACAACAACAACAAAAGAAAAAGAAGAAGAAAGAAAAAAGAGCGGCAGACAGATCGAGCTGCGGTATCTCGAAAAGCGTGACAAGAGTATGAGTGGATGTTTACACGTCAATGATGGTATGAATAAACACTGAGGTGGTAGAAAAGGGTGCTAGATGGGATCATTTATCACCGCTAGACAGTCGATTATAAATTAAAGAAGAGATATCCCCAGGCCCCAGCATTACTCATCTGATCCATTGATTAATGTAGGCCTATATTATGTAACTTTCTGTGGGTATAATACTAATTACATGAAGTATACAAAGGTGAATTGGAGACGCAAGGTGATGAGGTATGAACATATTTATGCAGGTAATTTGTCGGTTTGTTAAAATATTGCTCTGAATTAAATATCCATGCTGATAGTGATCTATTTAAGAGTCAATAATTTAATAATATCTGATGATATTCTCGTTACATTTAGCACCGTATTATTGTCTCAGCATCGAACCTGCGCCCTTCATGTTCTCAAATCCAATTAACGCTCAGATGGAACCACCTAGCCTCCATGCATCCACGAACCGACTCTCAATTTCTCAGATTTTTCCATTATGCTGGGTCTTTCGCAATTCGTGTTGACATTATTTTGCGAGGATTCGAGGAAAATGTATATTTTCAGATGTGGGAAGTCATTTAAATCACCATGTTTATAGTTGATTCATGGATTGGAAAATAAAGCTTAATGCAAAGAATGTTTGACTTGAAATCAATAAGGACTTCCCCTCGAAAGAGCGCATATTACTCGCAAGATAAGTTTTGTATCGAGAAAACGCATTAACCCTGTATGTTTATTTTTTGGCCAAAACTCCGGCTATCTACTGACCTTTTAATGACAACAAAAATGTGTCATCTTCAATATGATCTATCGTTTGAGTCAAACTGATTATCATTTTAGGTCAAATCTGCCTCAGTTGTTTAGAAATGATACAGTTTGATTGCTAGAGTTTTTACAATCATAAGCATCACGTATTACAAGGGAGGTGACCTAATTATGTTGAAGTTGATATTCATTAGGCTTTGTAAATGTGCAGACTGCATTTCTGAAGTCAGTACATGCAAGGTTATGTTAAAATGAAGGAATATTTTATCGTTGGCTGCTTGTCGCATACGCCGATATAACAGAAAAAGGAAAAGACAACTCGGCTCCTCCATCCCCATACACACTATATTCGAAAATGCCATAAAATAGACTGTTTTTAATCATTGGAAAGACCTAATTTAAGCTTACCTGGATGACATAGACTCTCCGGGTAGGAGGTTGAGTCCCTCTTCGGTGACCGTTACAGCTTCTTCTATCAGGGAACCTGGCTCGTTGAGCACGGCAGCGACCACGGGTAAGACGAGAGCCAGCTTACACAGTAGCGAGATTCGAACATTCAGGAACCCCAACGCCGACATTCGAAGAGAAATCATCTTAAAAATCACTCTAATAATGCTCCTACAATCCCAGTGAAGTATAATCCTTGTTAGTATTCCGTTTGATGGGCATCTGTAGATCAAAATAAAAAATGGGATATTGAAATGTGAATATACTACATTTCAGTGGACGTTTATGATTCAACCACGAAGCGTCAGTCGGGTTCTCTTCCAGCGCGACAAGGTTCTCTATTCGTCATAACTCGACAACCCTGACGTGCCTGTGTCCTATCTTCACATCACCATAGTACACGTGCCCTCCCAGCTCAGCTAGCCCAAGCGGTACCTCGATGATGTTCAATATAAACTCAATAGACCACCCAGGACTCCATATGCATTGCATAAAGCCCTGCCTGAACGCTATCCGACCTAGCAACGAATGATATGCCATGTGATTTCAAGGCCTTGGTTAGCCATGCACGTGAACATTCTTTTTTTTTCTCCGAGAAACAAACAAGATTTTGATAATGATAGGCCCATAAATTAATATATCTGACACAAAATCCTAATCAAATCTAACGCATGTATATAGAGAGTTAATTCGAATGCATGAATATCTGATTTTAGAAAGAAAAAAAACGGTAATTCTGCATATACATATAGTGATTTAAATTATTACCTCTATTGATAATCATACAAATGTTAGCTTGCCAATTTGAGTTGAGAAGAATAATATTACCATTTATTAACATAAGCCAGTGTGTGTTTAATCAAGGAGTTATCACAATGCTGGTATCTCCTTGATTTTGCCGGTGCCCTGGAACAATTCAGATTTATTACGATATCAATCCACTGGGAGCTCCGTCATATAACGACAATGCAATGTCAAATTTGATTAAGAAATAATTGTCTCGGCGTCCCCCTCCAGAATGAGGATTTTATTAATATTTTCAAACTGCGCTCTGTCTGTCGGTCTATGATTACGGTAAAACATTGAGCGCAATGAACATTTCGAAGTTTACTAATAACTGCACGAGTAAAACAGAGGCATACGCAGCCATGTTTACTCTGAAGTAGATAGGAGAAGATGATATTATATGTTTGTTGGTCGATATTGTACAATTGACTGTCTCGTATATTTGGAACATTATAAGACGAAGAGAAAAGCTCGTTGTGTTCTTGAATTGAAATTGAATTGATTTGAAGAATAAGATCAATATATTCGTGATTTCTTCGATTTGATAACCCATCGATTCGAAAATTGCGAACATATACTTCCATGCTTGACACTTTTCTATACATAGCGTTTATCTTGTAGGGTCAAGCAAATACAACAAGGTTATCACATTATCAAGTTATGCCCATTGTTGTCTAAAATTCTTTCCCCATACAACCCAACGCCTGGTATACATTCGCCAATGGCGTGCATAATGTTGGGCCCCTGCCAAGATCATGTCACTTTCAGATTTCACTAATTCGTGCAAAAATTCATAGTTCACAAAAATCGAGCTCACCAGACGGGAATAGTTCCAGACCCCCCCCCCCTTAATCCCCAACCCCAGTCTCCACACTATACAGCCCGATGAGCGCTCTCAAATGAGGCACTGGTATATGGGCATTGACGTATAATAATGACGACTTTGATTGAATGCGATTGAATATACCATTTTCAAAATATATTCAAATTCACATGCTTACCTAGCGACGAGCTATTACATGAACTTGCTATGTCATTGTATCTCAATGGTCAGAATGCGAATAGCATACATGTGTTGCTAGGTCGGATAAACATTATGGCACGTGCTCCTAACAACACGTAACATGTGTGTATGCAATTCGCAATCTTGTCTATTGAAAATACAATTATTCGTAACGTGTGAATGAAAGAATTTAATAAATAACTGGTAACGAGGCACTTGGCATATGACGTATACATTAAATTTGATTACGTGGCCTATGATGTGATTAAAATAAAAGTAAAGTGTTTTTCAGCTTTTTTAAAATTCACGTTTGGAAATGTAGGTAGATAATGATAGCTCCAGCAAACGGAAGGCTGTTCATGAAATACTCTATCAAACATACCAACCACAATATGGGTTATTATTTTTGATGATTCTTTTAAAGACTTATTGATAAAAGAACTTTTTTTTTCACGGATAGATTTTGGAATTGGAGACAGAAAAGAGCTTGAAAAGACTTCCATGACATTTGTGGTGCAGCTGCATTATTTCTCTTTTAAACTTACTGCCCCACAATCCTAGAGAAAAAAATGACTTAGCCAACTTTGTGAACATTCAGGGCTAATCAATTATCACCATTGTTATAGGCCTACAGGCCCCTCACACGTATAGATTGAAACAAAATCTGATTACTTACTTTAGTAAGTTACAAATTGATTTAAGTTACTGAAGTATGTACATTTGCAAGAGACATTTTCAATTTGTGAATTTATAATACAGCAAGTTATTTCAATCTCTGATTATTCTATTGCAGTACAAATAAAATAATGAGCGAATTATAAACCACATGGGAGGATAGTTGTTTTAATATCTAATTTCTAGTAATCAATTTATTTCCACTTTAATGGAATAAACATTTAGTTGTTAACAGTGAAATGTGAACAAATAAAGAGGAAAAAGATTGGAAGAGAGAGAGAGAGAGAGAGATAGAGAGAGAGGAAGTGCGGAAAAAGTATTTGTAAGGACAGATAGGAGAAACAGAGGGAGGTTCAGAGAGAGGGAAGAGAGAGAGAGAGACTGAGAGAGAGACATACAGACAGAGAGAGAGAGAGAGAGAGAGAGAGAGAGAGAGAGAGCAGGTGAGAAGAAAGAGAGAGAGAGAGAGAGGGAGGGAGAAAAGAGAGGGGTGGGGAGAATTTTGAAAAGATTAAAAAAGACTTTTGAACGTTTATAAAGCACGTAGCACCGACCACACGTCACAAGTAAAACACAATTCTTTATAAGGACACCAAATCACAATCTGGAACTAAAAGTTTAAAAAATAAAGATGCTCTTCCCACTTTAAGTATTCTAAATAACTTTTTAACTTTAGATCACACTATAACTTTATAAAGGAACAAACTCATCAAATTCACGGGGATCGTGAAACATTTTCTTGTAAAACTAAAAGTGCTTACATGATGGCTCCCGAAGCAGGAAAAGAGAATTGACCAGGAGTTAATGAGGATGCTGACAAATGCGGGAAACGTCGCGACAAATTTTAGAAGACAAGCTGGAACAACTGACATAAAGGACATGATTTCTTTCTCCTGTAATGGTGACAGTTTAAACTTCTAAGTGGATCATGAGTGGATTGAGTACTGAATGATTGTACTTCTTCCATCATAAGGTTAACCCTTTCGCTGTCAACCAACGGGTATTCTGATATACTAATGCTGCTGTTACAAAAGGAAATCATCATTCCTTGTTACTACTAATTTTGATGAAGGAGGGGTTAACAAAGTGTTTAGATAATGTTCTAAGTACTATGTGTTTAAAGCACGGCACTTCTATTTTTGTAAGTGTGTGTGTGTTTATGTTTGTGTATTCACGTACACTTTCGAACGATAGTAACTAAAAAACAAAAAACCTCTACCAAACTCAACTATTATACTGCTATTTAAAGGTTGCAAACCGTTGATTCGAGTACGATATTTATGCTTTAAATATGCACTTAATTAATTTATTAAAAACACTTTACTGCCTCTATCTTTTGTAACCGCATGCACGTAAACCACAAATAATTACTATTCATAATAGTTAGCAAAAGGTGGTATATGACAGTAACTTCACAGTGGTTACCAACGTATACAAGGGTTATCTTTGCTGCCTCTATTTAAGTTTACAATGAAAATATCACGGTTTTAAAAAAGGAAAAGGGACAAAGAATTGAGTCTAAATGTCGCTAGAATTGTGCCTTAAAATGTGGCATGCGAAGACACGAAAACTCGCAAAATTATATTCCGACAGGTGTCTCATTGGACCAATGTTCTATAAAAGAATGATTTCTTTTTTATTCCGGCGATAAAGATAAAGGCTTAGAACATGTCACAGTTTCAACTTCGTCATCAATCATTTTGATTACATTGGCCGGAGGGCAAGGTTTATTTCATATTTCGTGATTATCATAATGCAAACATCGTTGAAATTATCATTGCTCACTATCATACAATTTGATATAGTATAGATTTGATATGACCTGACCGAATCAATTCTCGAACAACGTTTGGCTCAACCACAAATCTCCCCACATACATAAATATTTATAACATTGGTCTAAAAGGGAGAAAGAGAATGAGGCAGAGAGATGTATAGGGGGAATGAGCAAGAGAGAGAGAGAGAGAGAGAGAAGGGGATGGGGAGGGGAGAGGGAAGGGGGCGGTGGGTATAGAGAAAAATAAGAGAAAGACAGCCACAGACAGAAATTGCAAGAGAAAGAATATTGTGAGAGATAGACGCACACACGCACACACGCACACATTAGGACACACATGGATCGAGAGAGAGAGAGGGGGTATCATTCATTTTGAAGTTGAATTAACGAGTCACTACATCAATCTTTGGTAACTACTTGAATAAATCCTATTTCATCTTAAAAATCATGTATGATTTATCATAATGAAAACAGGTGCATAAAAGACACTTGACATATTTGAGAAGGACCATGATGAATTCATGTTCGATTCCATTTTGAAACCTCGGCTACTATTCCTTGTCAAAGAAAGCACGCCAAGGAAAATACATGTTGAACTCCATTTGACCGTCGTATACATTATACTGTTCGATTAAAAGAAATAATACCTCAGACGACAATTTTGAAAATAAGGACGTCGAAGTAAAATAGTCTGTGGCATGCAATGGGACAATAAAACCGAGGCAAGTCTTGTGGCTATTTATGCGCCTGCTCTACACCAAGGCGACCATAATGACATCAGCTCTTGGCGTACTTCTAAACCAACCGCTTTTTATTCTTTCTTTAATTGGCTTCCGACTCGTTTTATTTGCTCACGTTATTATGACAAGTATTTAAACACACTATGCAAAGAAACGAGATACTCCACGCTACGAGCGCCAGACCTGACAAACCTCCAAACTTGAATGTTTGTTACAGTGGGTTGGGGTTCCATTGAAGGGGCTTGTGTCTTGAAGTGCTTAGGGAAGTTGTTTTGCTCATTTCTCAAGTGTTTAGATCAAGCAGCATTGCATTCTGGTATTTTACATATGAGTGTTTAACTAAGGTACGCCACATTCTCCCATTTTCTAACCCTGAACAAAAAAAGAGCAGGTTTTTTGTCCGCCAATATTTCTTATCAACTAAATTTTGTTCTACATAATACTGAATTTACTTTGTTTATATTATATTTGACTGTATTATATTATGTCTGTTTATATTTTGTTTGTTTTGAAACGGAAATAAAATCTGAATCTGAATCTGAAAGGGTGGACATAGAATCTAATCAAACGATTTAGTATACTAAGAAATCTTTTTTGTAAAAGTGGGTGTTTCGGAACAAACATAGATACATCAAGATAGAAATTTGACAAATCACATATGACTTTATGTGACGTCTTGTCGATCAATAGGCCTATAATAGTAATAATTATAAACAAATATTATAAAGCGCTTAATAACAAAAAAGTTCTCTAAGCGCTTTACAAACTTAACTGCAATCTTTACTACAACTTAACATACTACAAAAGGCATAACTCAGACTACTCAGACAACTACTTGTAAAATCGTTGAGAGCAAATTCTCAGTAATTAACAACATTTTGAGATGTGCAAATTCATTGTCAATATGTACATTCTTGATGTTTGACACTGCACAAATGGAATCCAGTCTTGCCACTGTTTGGGGCTATTTACCGTGTATAAAATTCTCCCTGATCAACAAGAACAATAAAGCCATGTTTTGTTGAACTAGGTTAATCAACCGGTTCTAAACATCAAATTCTGAATATCAAGAAAAAGAAGTATGAATAGGACACACTTCCATTCTGTTCCAGTTCTTTTCTTAATTTTACCGAAAGGAAATATGTACAAACACTTACCAGATGCGAAGAAGTTAAATTAGTCCAACTATTATGTCGTAGTTTTTCGAGTAATCCAAATTAGAACCGTTGTTGCAGCTGGCAGATAGAATACTAGATAGTTGATTCATTTAGGGCGAAGAAGAAATCTTGGATAGAAAATTAATGGCAATTTATATTCTCCTTATTCCTTATTTTTTTCCAGAAGAAACGATGGAGGACAACGCATCAGCAACGGAGATTCCTTTTCAAGTGTGTGTGCTTGAGAAAAGTGTATCACTTCTACGATTTCAACGTAATCTCCTCAACATGGATTTAATTCAAAGTCGGCTCCCATTCAGATATCTCTGCTAATCCTCCACGTACCAAACATGCACAATGACATCTGTATTTCTTCGCCTTCTTGTTTACTCCTTGCTCTTAAAACTCACTCACACTGCCAGAGCATGGTCAGAGTATGGGCTGGCTACTCCAAGACAGACCAATCTTGGCTAAGAACACGACTGTCAGGACAATCTCTAAGGCGCCCTGAAAGAGTAATGCCCCCTAACTGCTTTTGTTCAGAATGATTTAAACGCGAAGCCTAAGTCCGTCCACGGTTTATTTTTATTAAATAGTGACAGAAGTCATTTGGAAGTTTTCTTTAAGCTTTAAATGGCCTTGAAGGAGTTCCAAAGAATAAAAGAGGGTGCCTTGTCAGCTTCCATGGTTGTGGGGAGGGGGGGGGGGGATTTGACACGAAGACGTTGATATTCTGTGAACGAACTAAAGCCATTGTTCCAGCTTACGACGAAAAGACCCGCACCGGCGGACCACGTCTGATGTAAACATGTTAAAGGTCCGGATTTAGATTGAGGATTGTACATTAAAGGAGGATTCGACACTTCATCCCGAAAGGGATAAAACAAATAAGCTCTACATTGTAAAAATACTACATTGTAAAAAGTAATGGGTAGACATTCTCCAGCATGAGGGTAATGATGTATCTGACCAACCTTCGGGCAAATTTATGATCAATTTGGGTAATGTTTTGCCTAATCAGGATCATTACTTGTTGAGCAAAATCGCCCCAAAATTGCGTATAAATGCCCCAAAGTTGGTCGGACAGCCAACTCAGTGCCATCGTATTGTGCGATTCTTTATCCAACATTTTTTCACTTTGAATACAAACGGAAATCAAAATATTGACTGGATGTAAGTGCATCTCCTTTAATCCCCTTCGTTAATATATAGTGCAGAAAGGGGACATTTTCTCTCTTACATCGCTCTCCCTTATCTTTCTCTCTTCTTTCTCTGTTTATAGACATTATTCCAAATTTGCCACACGCAACAAAGTTGATGTAAATGGGTACCTGGCAGGAATTAATTCCTTCAAATGCTAGAGCGCCGTGATGGCAGCCTTGCTAAATTCAGATTAATAATCGGGGAGCGCCAGGAGTGTCACAAACAACCCACTATTAATTATTATTATAGCATGAAAAGTGTTGTTTTATTAGAAGTGTGACGTAACAATGCATTTTAATCAAGCTGTTCAGCTTTCATTGGTCATCTTGTCACTAGTTATTATTTTGCTTTCATCGTATGATATTACTCTTTGTTTTTCATGTTACATTGAACTTGTTTGAATGGCTTATAGATCGAATAAAAAAATTAAAATATCTCTCTCTCTTATCTCTTTCATCTCTCTTACTTTATCTCTCTCTCTCTCTCTAGTCTCGAGCTCCGCAATGAGAATAAAGATGAGGAAGTGTGCAGTGGCGGATCCAGGATTTGCCGATGGGGGGGGGGGGGGGGGGGCCTAAATGTGAAAATGCGCTGACCAATATCTCGTTCAGTGGGGGTGGTGGGGGGGGGGGGGGGTAGTGAGCATAATTTTTGTTTCGTATTTGACGCCGAAAATGAGAAAGTCGCGCCGAACAACATTTCGCCCTGTGGGGGAGGGGCATATATACATTTATTTTTCTTTATAAATATTTGTTTTATATTAAGAAAAAACAAAACAGCCAGGGTACACACATGACAGAATCCTGGACTAGCAGATGAACGCATATTCGAATTATCCAGCAAATTTGACGTAATCTGAATTCACAATGGGGGCAGTATCCCATCCTCACAATATGTACACTCATTTTTATGTCCTCGTGAAGGGTCTTTCATTTTCCCTGTCTGCATTTTGCGAGACGACGTTTGCCCTATGCACGAAGGTTTGTGTTGGTTCTACGGCCTATGTCAATACACTGGTTAAAGGTGAGAATACACACAGACGAAGAGTAAGCAATGCTCAATGGAGTATGAAACAAAACATAACAAAACAAAAAGAAGAGGGGGGGGGGGGGTGGTGGTGAAAGGGGTACCTGTGTTATTGTATTTAAAGAAGTGAACATGGTGAGAGGGAGATCGAGAGTGGATGGATCGAGAGCAACTTGAAAAAAAAATACAGGGGCATGCAAGCTAGAGAAAGGAGTCATCAGGCAATGGCATGAGGGGAACGGAAAAAAGGAAGGGAAGGGGAAGAGGGTGAGAGAGGGGTAGAGGGTGAGAGAGGGGAAGAGGATGAGAGAGAGAGAGAGAGAGAGAGAGAGAGAGAAAGAGAGGGGGGGGGGGGGTAAGAGGGGAAAATGAATATCTGCATGAGCTTTATCTTTCACACAAAGGACTAATATTTCGATCATATTTATCTAAAATTTCATAGGCCGATCGATTTGAGACATTTGATTAATGATGTCACTTGAACCTAAAATTTGTCGGTGCAAGGGCACTGCATATATATGCAATATGGAACTTCAATATAGGGTGCATTCTCAGAGCTCGATATGGACATCACTAATATGTCCTAGTTTTCGTTCAATTTCGTGCTACTTAAAATGTCTTTTCTTTTGTCATTTTTGTTTGTTCTGATCAGGGGCGTAGACAACGGGGGGGGGGGGGGGGGGGGATGAGGGGGATGGGGGGGGGGGGGATGGCATGTACAATCATCCCCCCAGGTTTTGGGGAATGATATTTGCTTACTTAATAAGTCATAATGATGATAATAATAGTAATAATAATAATGATAACAATTATAATATTAATAATAATAATAATTATGATGATGATAATAATAATCCTCATCATTATTGTAATTGTGTTTATTGTTAGCCGCATTCACACGGTGAAAGCCAATTCTAAAACAGAATAGAAAATGAATGTGATACAACAGTATACATAATAATTCGTGACAGAGAGTACCATACTACTATCTTTATAACAAAGTATTATTCAAACAAACATATATAATTATGTATAGTGTGAATTTACCCTGTCTTGAAATGCGAGATAAAAGGAACCTATTAGTATTAGCATTATTATTTGTATTAGTATTATTTTTTATTTGTATTATTATTATTATTATTATTATTATTATTATTATTATTACTATTACTATTATAAGACTGAGATCAAATAGAAGTAAATAATGCCCTAATTTGAAACGATGCAATGCCGTTATGGTTCCGATTTCTTCACAAACTTACAAAGCAGTATTGTTACTCCATGGATCATAGTGATACTGTTTATGTTTTTTGTATCTGTATGTTAATGAGCCGCCAGCCAATATCCATCTATGGATACTATGCCTGTTTCTTTGAGGTAAAAAAAGCATAGTATGTACGAATTCATTATGCTTTATAATGAACAGACATATTGTTCAAAGTTTAATCGTTATTTGTTTGTTGTTTATGTGTTCTATTCACAAATGGCCACAGAGGCTGTTTTCATTCATAACCACATACCCCTATCAAGACAACAAAGACTATACCTGCGTATAGTTGACATTGGTTTTTTTTCTGAAGAGGTGTAACAGCAAAATTCACAGAGATAAATAAATACGTAGTGTGGTTCAATATGCAATACTATGTGTCAGTCCATTCTGTATTCGTATGCTACGGTGTGTAGATCTTGTCGATGTATGTCTGTCCATTCAAGGCGTAGTATGTGTGTGTGTGTGTGTGTGTGTGTGTGTGTGTGAGTGCGCGTGTGTGTGTATGTGTGAGTATGTGTGTGTGTGCGTGCACGCTTGTGTGTGTTATTTTACCTCATTAAGTATGCATCAGATGGCACGATTTCAAGTTCAAAATTGCAAAAGCTCCCTACCGTGGTAGGGGGGAGACCCCCCCCTCCCACACCCTCCCCCCGCTCGGTCGCTTCGCTCCCTCGCTCGGGCGCTTCGCGCCCTCACTAGCGTTGGCAGCCCAGTCATCCCCCCAGGTGTACGAACCTGTCTACGCCACTGGTTCTGATTAAGCTTCATTTTACATTTAAAAAGTGTTGTATTCATTTAGTCAATTTAATTTTCAATAATTTCGACAATTTTATCACAATATGTCACCTTTAGGATTTCTGTTTTTGAGCACTAACACATCGCTCTTTTTTTTTTTTTTTATAAAAGGAGGTCTGCTTGTCTTGAAACAACTTATTATAGATAAATGAATAATGAAAAATGAAAAAAAATGAATGAATTAATAACATTTATTTTTCTACAGGATACATTTTTAAGTTTGGAGCAACAGGGTGCAAATAAAGCCTCGGTCACAAATGCCATTACGAACTGCTACGACCGCCGTACGAACGATTTTCAGACTATGGAAATTCGGGAAGACAATGGAAAAACGGGGAGATTCGTACAAAATTATCGTTCGTACGAACCTTTGTGACCGTAGCATAAAGCATCCCATATTCTATTATCTCTGTGTTTTAAGTAAACACGACTCCACCCTTTGCCGAGTCATACAATGTAATCTTTTATTATCATAACTTAAATGGTTCATGAAGATGTAGAGGGCTGTGGAGAAAGTGATTCATACCCACGTGATATCGTCTATCAATATTTGACATTCCGGAAACAAAAGAGTTGTGAAAGTCACCTGAGAGTCACTTTGATGTTGAGATTTTTATCTCGACCTGAATGCAAAGTCGAATCCAACACAGGCGCGTACGCAGGGGGGGGGGGGGGGGGGGGGGGGTTAAACCCCCTTATCTTTTTTTATGTGTGTATTATGTGTGTATTTTTTAGCAAACCCCCCCCCCCCCCCCCCCTTTTGAGGATTTTTTTTTTTAAATATTATTTTTATTAATTAGAAGAAAAAAAAGAAGAAGAAAAAAAAGATTATGCCAATGGCTAATGGCTGACCTAAAAAAAGTGCCTTACCCCCCCCCCCCCTACGGAGCAAAATTTCAAAATATCAAATTTCGAGATCAAAAACAGAAAAAAGTGTCCTCTTACACACCCCCCCCCCCTCCCACTTATTCAGCGGCTGGCTGAATCGTTGCGATGAAATCGTTGCGTTGAAAAAATCCTGCGTACGCCATTGATCCAACCAACCCTTGACTCTCAGTAAACTACAGGAATAACTTGAGGGAGTTTGTAAGGGAGTTATTTATGATATGATATTTTGCGCACTTCAATAATGATGGTCCTTATCTCACACGTTGTCCATATTGCGTGAATAGGGAGACTTATCAAGACCACGGCACATCTTACGACAACACTTCGCGATAGATTAAAGTGACTCGGTAACATATCCCTCAGATTCTGAAACAAAATCCTGGATTTTGCTCCTGCTGCAATCATAATTGTAAACCTTTAGGTCAGTCAGGAATTCCATGACTTTTTACAAGCCGATCGCTTGTCTAAATATCAAGATATTTATGATTGGAAATCGAAATTTCATTTTTCGTTTTCCTAACGGTTTTTATAACACTACAGTCTATTGGGGGAAATGAGTATGGTAAAACCGGTCAAAGATTTTTACTTTTTTGAAGCACTTCATGATCATTTAAAGTACTTTTTTGTTGGGCTTCAATATTACACCACATCACAGACACTGATAACACATAGGGCCATGCATCTCAGACTTAAAGGTAATACAAAGTTTTGATATGGGGTCATGAATTTGGTTCAAATTAACATTGTGGAAGCAAATGCAATCCTACAATATTAAGTGATCGTTGTCGCGGTTGAAAACGAGTCTAAAGTTTTGAAATTGTAAATAATAAACTCTTTATGTTGTATAGCTCCCTCTCAAGGTCAAGATATTAATTAAGCTATAAAACAATGTTTCTTGACTAAAATCGACCGATTAGCTATTCCCGTTTGGAAATTATATATCACAAGTATATATTATGATATTTTCATGGTCGCAGCTAACATCGCACGGCCATAGGCGCTATTTGAAATTTTTATATTCAATTTTTCTCGAAAGCAGAAATGTTTTAGGGGCTAATTTTTCTAGTGCTTATAATACATCTACAGGGGCATCCAAATATATAAAAATGGTAGAGAATCACTATCCACTCAATTTTCAAAATTTCCCAAAACTTTGTATTACCTTTAACATTGTTAAACGATGCCTTTAAATAGGGACTTTTAGAAAAATCAAAACCTAAATTGTATACGAATGGGGTCCTGGACAATTTTTCATGAAAAATAACTTGGTAATTTAAACTTACTCCTACAAAAGAGAGTCAGATCAACTACCCGGTCGGTATGGTCGGTGGCCAATTCAAGCGACATGTACGACGACACAACGATTCGCAGCCGATCGCGCATTTTCCGAGGCTCGCACAACACTGTAACTTCAATACACATGTTTTTTTGTTGCTATAATTAGGATGATCACACTTACATAAATATTCTAAAAAAGAATGAAACGCCGTTAATACCAAACAACAACCTGTGCACACAGTCTGCCCCGCGAACACACACACACAACAGCAGTCAGTTGGTAGAAATAACAATTTTTGTAAATTTATTTTTAAAAAATCTAAACAATATTTTTAAATTTTTATTTCACATCATTTCAAGCATATCTTTAACTACAATTCTGTGTAGTTTCATTGTTATAGGCATGTGGGATATATGTTAAATTATTTATTTAGAATATTGTCTTTTCAGCCATGTGTGACATGGCCCGCTGATCGCCCATTGACTCGCACTGCTATTCTGCGTGGTGAAAATGCACCTCAATGTATAAAACTCCCCTACAAAAATGCAATATCCTCCTGTGTTTCACTCATTGAATCAATTTGTTATTTACACTCAAGGTAGCCACAACTGTACTGGGGTCACCAAACTTTTTGGTACTCTGAAATTCAGTCCCTGTGGAATGTTATGGCCTGTTGAATGATTTCTCGGAAAATCGTCATAAATCCTCAAATCTGACATCTTTTAAATAGCCAAATATACTGTGATGTAGCTGAAAGTCTACAGGTTCTTATCATAATTATGATCGGTTTTTCTGAATAATTTGTGAAACACATGAGGAAATAGCTGTGACGGTGATCCAAGTAATTTCCATCGCCACATTTTATTGGCATTGCAAAAATATTTGGAATTTAAGGTTAATATTTGGTGTAAATATGATCTATGAATATATGATTTAAAAAATGCCCAAAATGAAGTTTGACTTTCCTAATTTGCATAATGAGTGCGCGAATATTCACTTTTTTGCAATTACAAATTAATGATATCTAAATTTCTTTCAAAATTAAGTAGAAGTCTGGCCATAATTGGATATGCGGTGGACTTAAGACTCGTGAAAAACTTGTGACTTGTTTATGATCTGTATCCATATAATACTAATAAAAAATGATTCCTCTATGGCCACCATTTCTTTCTCTCTCTGTCTCTTTCTCTCCCTCTCTCTGTCTTCTTCTCTTTCTGCTGTTTTCCCATTTTTTCCGTTTGTCACTCTCTTTCTTATTTTCTCGATGTTTCATCCTCATTTTGTCATCCCGACTGCTTCTGTTTCTGATTTGTTTTTGTCTCGTTAATAATTGTTTGTTTTATTGTCTGTCATGTTTTTTTTATTCCGTTACTTTTTTCTCAAAATTAAGTTATAAATGTAAAAAGTTAAATTATCATTGTGCAAACCTACACCTAACAAGCATTGCTTTCAAGTAGGTTCGTTTTTTTGCACTCCCTGTAACCAAATTATTTTGCATTACAATGACTAATAAAAAAAACAATGTCATAGATATTTCAATGCTCATTTCTGTTATATCATTACGTTTATTATTGTCTGTCATTGTTTATATTATGTGAAAAGAAATGAAAAATAAATTCGCTCTGTATAGAGCGACTACTACTACTACTACTACTACTGCTACTATATAGTGATCCATGTAGGCAACAAGCCCGGCGTTTTCGGTATGTTATACAATGTATTGTCGGGCTTAATGTGATTTAGGAACAGAGGAGCTTGGGCGAATAGTAACTACTGAAACCAATGACAAACCTACGAATGGCGAAACTTTGGACTAGGGTAAAACCGCGAATTGCAAATCTTGCTACATGTACTAACAGTGAACCTTGGAAGGATGTCAAACCTTTGAACTAGCGACACGCATTAGACGAATAACACATATTTACACGAATGGCAACCCTTTGGACTATATGACGAGCACTCCAGGAATTAAGAGCAAACCTAGACGAACGAAGAACCGTCAGACGAATGACAAACCTAATTTACACTAGGCACTAGAATGGCACACCTTCATCGGACCAAACATCTGATAAAGATAAATCTTTGATGAATGGAATCGTATAGACTTACGACGGACTTGGGACGACTGGCAAACCTCGAGAAGATATGGCGTAACACAACCTGTAGAAGATCGATACATCTTTCCTCTAAAGACAAACCGCGGACGAAGGGCGCCACCAATGATGATCCTTGGTCGGATGGCCCGACAACGGAACCTGGAAGAATGGTAAACGTTGAGAATCAATGACGTTACACAACCTATAGAGGATCGATACATCTTTCCTCTAAAGACAAACCGCAGACGAAGGGCTCCACCAATGATGATCCTAGGTCGGATGGCCTGACGGAACCTGGAAGAATGGTAAATGTTGAGAATCAATGACGTTACACAACCTATAGAGGATTGATACATCTTTTCTCTAAAGACAAACCGCAGGCGAAGGGCACCAATGATGATCCTTGGCCGGATGGCCTAACCTGGAAGAATGGTAAACCTTGAGAATCTATGGCGTTACACAACCTATAGAGGATCGATACATCTTTTCTCTAAAGACAAACCGCGGATGAAGGGCACCATCAATGATGATCCTTGGTCGGATAGTCGAAGGACGGAACCTCGAAGAATGGTAAACTTTTCGAATAAAATAATGTCAAACTCTAAACGTCCGACAACCATTCGAGATTCGCTAAACCTTAAAAATCACGACAAACTTTGGACAAAACAAACCTTTACAAATAAAAACGAGAAACCCAATGGGAAGGATGACAAACGTTTAGACTAAGTACAGATCTTTGGACAACATGCGATACTACTCAGTTTTATAACAAATCTTCCTCTACTCACCAAGAACATTCAAACGAAAAATTAAACTTTGAGCTAAAGACAAAATCTTTTGCTCCAGCTGCACACTTTGGACAAACGGAAGAATTTTTGTTTAAATTGTAAGCGACGTACCATTTGATCGATAACATACATGTACGTACATCTTTTCTAGCAAAGGAACCTTTGGACTAGCGAAGCCCTTTTGTAATAACAAAGTTATCTGTTGTTTAACTAGAAATCTTTAGACCAACGACAAACCTTGCGACTTCAGACGAACCTACGTAACGATAAACAATCTCCAGGCCAGATATACAAACAACGGTCAGTCACAAGAGAGCCGTCATGTTGGTATATTATGTCGTGGGATTTCAAATGATCTGCAATGAAATGTGGGATTTACGTTAACAAGGAGTCTCTTTCTGAGGAAAAGGTATAACCATGGAACGTCTATCATTATATATGTGTATCTATTTTTTCTCGACTTCGACTTATAAAAAGTAAAAAGTTCTTTCTCTAAACAATCTGTAAGAAATACTTTGCCAAACATATGGAACACTCTACCTCAAGTCCTCCGCTTATATAACAACAGTTCAATGTTTAAAAAAAAAAAAAAAAACTGACCTTTTATTCTGAGTATCGTTAACTTTACCTTCCAAACCTTTTTGCCCCCCCCCCCGCCAATTTAAAATTATTTCATACATGTTTGTGTAGTTTTTTGTCTTTATATTGTGTTTATCGCTGTATTTTGTGATATCTTTAACTCATATATGCTCAATAATATAAATAATATAAATTATAATATTCGGGGAACTTTTTATACAAAGCCACCATGGGCTTTTCCTTTGTTCTCTAATTTCATTTGAAACTATTGTAATAACTGACCATTCCTTGTATGTATATATACTTGTATGTTTATTTGCACTTGCTGTGTTTTTATGAAAATTAAATAAATAAACGAACTTAACCTTGAACTTGAAGCGCATAATTCATTACTTGAGAATATCCACATGACACTAGTGATATGGCGTCTATAACACACAAATATGGAAACATATGACTATAGCAAAACTTTTTTGTCTTATTTTAGAAGGGATTATACCCCTTATTTATTTCACCCTCGCTTACTGGACAAGTTATCAAAATGTTTGACATAAAATGGCAACACGAAAAATGAATCATATTCATATTTAAACGAGATATACATATGAGCGATACAAACACTTCAATGTTATTTGAAACGAATCTTCAAAAGACAATACACTGTATGTACATGTACGCAGTACATATATACACCATTTTACATTTAACTCTTTACAACTAGTACTGTGATTATTTTGTCGTAAGAGTGTTATCAGAGTAACTTAGAATAAAAAAACATGTTTCGCGCTTCAATGGACTGAGTACCAAACAACATACAGGCAGGCGTATTTTAAGATAATTTACAGAACAGATTCTTATTACATTGAGTCTCAAAATGTATTGCTTGCGAGATAAATTACGTTTATAAAAAAAAATATTTCAGATTTTTAAAAAAGACGAAAAAAAAAAAAGACAGAGTATTACTCTCCGAAATTTGGAAAAATGTCAAACTTATATACAACAAAATAAAAACTCTCGTTTCATATGTGAGAGGTACAGTTAGGACGAAACAAATTTTTAAGGGGCAAATAATTGACCCCCAAAATACAAAAAAAAAAATTGCCACACTTTAAATGCAATGAAACGCGCTGCTTTATTTAAAGCGATATAGTTCCTTTGATGCTAGTGATCGAATTAAGAAGAAGAGTGTATTTACATGATATCTAGTAGCTTAAAAGTAACCATCGACCAGATAATTGTTATACGAAACAAATTTTCGTTTTAATTTTGCGCGGACTGGCCAATAATGGCTTCAGTACAAAAACAAAAATCGAATCAGATTGGTGCATCGTAAATGGAGAGAATATTGAAGAAACACATATACAAAACGGCAAAAAACAGATTGCATCTACAGCAGTTCGAACGAAATTCGCGTACAACAAAAAGTAAGCATTCAATCTTAGGTGCAAAGTATACAAGGGAACCACAATATTATCAAATAATTTAAATAGAAATTAGTTTATTACGGAAACTGTAATATACATGATTAAAACGTTATAACGGCGCAAATCTCGGCTACTCTAAAATTGATCAACAAAAACATTTCTAGAACAACTAAAGTAATGCCCACCATTTTTGAAAGACGAGTTGTTATTTTACAGGAATGTACAAAAATGCATTATCATACATAGGAACAGCGCCAAGGAAAAATCATATTATATTTCACCAAATCCATGGGTGGCAAATTTACAAGCAACCCCACTACCATCACGAAACACTTCCGAGAAAAAAATATATACAAGTATCAAAATAACACCAATTATTCATAGAACATTGCCTATACAATCTATTTATATCAAAATCAAAGTCTGCGTTAGTTTACCAATAAAGCACGCGAATTTTTTTTATATTCGTCCAACGATGCTTTAGTTGTATCGTGGAATTTCGTTAGAGAGTCGGGAGATTTCAGGTCACTCCTGGGACCCGTTTCACAAAGCCTTTTTTCAATGACAAATGACCCAAATCAGTGACAAATCCGCTGATATCCAACCAGATGCAAGGATTTAAGTAACTTGAAACCGCTGTAATTTGTCACTGATGACAAGTTTTGTGAAACGCCCCCTGGAGAAGTGCCTTATCTTCTGCCCAATCATAAACGAATGCCCATCGCACACGAGGCGTCATTTGCCTGACGCAGAGTTGCGTCAGTGATTTGTACGGTCTTTAACGCGCCGTGCGAATGACGTAGTACAAACAAGTGATGGCAAAATAATCAGCGATGAAAACATTGCGTTGAATTATTAGCGTCTATAGGCTCGTCACAGCTCGTTTATAACGCGCGGATAACGCAATCAAAATAACGCCTCGTGTGCTACTTGCTTAACTGTCTACAAGTGCTTCCATAAGAGATGAAAGTGAAATATTTCAAGTAACCCGAAACTAAGTGGGTATAAGTGAAATATTATGCGTAAAGGTTTCGATGGAACGTCCATTTTCGTTATATATATTCATTGTATGAATGGTGTCGGATAAATGTTGTTCTCGATCACCCTAAAAAAAAGAGAGATATTTGTCTTTTCTATCAACACTATTACATTTGATAACTTACAATATTTCATATTTTTTCAGGAAAAAGAAACAGATAATTAGTATTGTGCATATTTTCGCGAATAACGTAAAGCAATAAATGAAGAAAACATACGGTCTACTAACAATTTCAGCATAAAAGGAACGATAGAGTACCTGTATAAATTCATTTTAAAGGCGGGCCGATGCAATTTTCACTTAAATACGAAACAATTTCATCATCCAGAAAATGTTTAATACTTGATTTAATAAATTATCGCAGTATAATGCCCGACTGGAACGCATGTAAAATAGCCTATACGACATATCATTCCTTCAAAGCTTAATAATGCACATTTTGTGCATGTATTCTCGGAAAGAAAACAGCAAAATTCATGGTTTCAGTTCCGAATAGGCGGGAGTACTATTTTCATTGGATCCATATTGGCCTTCATGCCGGGCGGTGACGGACGAATACCGAGTACACGAATCATAAGCGGTATAATGAAGAAACGTGCAAGAGATGGTGACCAACATCGTGAATAGATGAAACACTTCCTTGTTAAATATTATATTATTTTATTAAAATTACATTACGAATCCCGACACGGCACTCATAACCTTCGGCAGGTATTAAATGGGTACCCGGTAGGATGCTACCGTCATCGTTGGTCAGTTTTTGAGCGACAAGTAACGCCTGGCCGGACTACTCCCCAGGGAGTGGAGATTGTGCACACCGTGCGTGCGGGCAATTGTTGAATCCAATGAGCGGGGTAATAATATATCTGTAAAGCCCTTAGAGACATTTGTATTAAGCGCTATATAAAAGCGGAATATTATTACGGAGCACTTTAGAGGCTGAAAATATAAATATCCTTTCTTAGATTTGGCTCCTTATGTTGCTAAAAATATGGACAGATAATCTGAAACCATACATTAACAGCTGAAATAAGGCCCGTCTTAAATTTAACAGCGTAAGACAAACTTGTAGCCTGTCCATCTCATTCGGTGGTGATAGTATACAAAATATTGAATAATTTAATTTGCGGGGCAATGCTCATAATTGACAGAAAACTACTCACCATAAAGGGTTAAGTTTTATCGGTGACACCAACTTTGTCGTCAGTAGTCCTTTTATGTGCCACACCCCACATGTGCATCCGTAAAAATGGCAAATCTTTTAAAAATATACCTTACAAAAGGTATTTAAAGTACGATTTTCAAAGCAGTTTTGTAGTGCACAGTGACGGTATTTGGTTTTAAGCGCTATAAATCCAGATTCATTATTATGATAATACTTATGTCGTCCTTGTTTTGTGATTTACATGCAAAAAGAGCCATTTCCGGACAATGTTTTTACTAATGACCGACAGCTGTTACATGGCAGTCGATAGCCACTTTTACGCTCGTAGTTCTGACCAATCAGAGACCTAGAATCCTACCATGAGGTATGTAACAAAATACAACTCCCTTCAGCGGTCCAAAGAATGTTATATTACACCCCCTGCTAGTCAATATCTGTATAATAATACACATGGCTTTACAAAAAAAATGTATAATACAGCGACGCATGCATCATCCTAAAATATATTTTTTTCTATATATCTATTCACGACTTACGGCCTCTATCGTCTTGATGTCTCACAACCACTTTTCATCTCATCGGTATGTCGCCCGAACATCGCGTATGGTCTCGTTACGTCACTAGCAATAGCTACTCCGACATTTAACTTGCGAAAAGAAGATAAAAACGTATAAAGCATGATTGTTAAATAATCATATTTCATATTTGGGAACAGGCATTTCTGAAAGCTCCATACAGGTTAGCGGAAACTGCATTGCGTTTAATGTTAACAAAATTGTGGTATTATAAAAGAAGTGATACGATATGAATTCAATTTAAAAAACGGATATTATTATATTAGAAAGAATTGTCGAAGATCGAAAACGATTGCAACTAGTGTCGAAAAATCAACAAACATGACAATGACGTATTACGTAATCTGAACATGATTTCTATTGGACATTTAGTAGGGCACTGAAATTGACCTTGAATTGATTCTTCGAAACCATTTGCGTTCGTGTTTACTCTAAGAAGTATCAATAATAATAATAGAAAGTTTCTCATCATATGGCGACATGCATGATTGATCAATAGAATATTTCTTGAACATTGTATTTTTTTCTCGCAAACATTACACTCGAAACCGTCTTCAAAAATCCATATCGGTTCAATGAAAAATAATTTAAACGATCGTACAAAATTTTACTACCATGATCTGACGACAAAGAAAAAACACTTGAATGACTTTTACCAACCATCTCTAATTAAGATACAAAACATTACCAGATTGTACGCTTGAACAAGACAGACATTAAGGATAGAGCACCTCTCCTGGTTGAGTAAAATGGAGTACATGGAAGTCAAGCTGAAGGTATTGCCGTAGTTATTCAAGCACGTATGGGTTCCTATAACGAGTTTAAACACCTCATTATTATCAACATGAAAAACTTTTACATGACAATCAATACATGATTGATCAAATCAAAGTTCCCTACTGTCATATAAATGATTAGTTACATATATATTAGTGTAATGTACATGACATGCAAATCAATGAAATAAAAAGGCATGAACTACAACATGTATTATATTTCAATGATTTGTTGGCAGCCAAGAAAAATTTGAAATATTAGTCCTGAATGTACATCGCATTGCCTTTTAGCAATCTAATTCTCCCATTGCACCTTTGTACAGCGCATTTTAATGGAGGATTTAGCTTTCACATAAGTGTACGACATGGTGCAAAACGCATGGAAGATGATTGATATTTCATATTCTTATTTCATACCTTTCAAGTGAGTGAGCAACATGATGCAAAATATATGGGAGATAATTTATTTTTTGCCGACAAATCACCTCACAAATTATGAAAAAGATCCTCTATAATCGGGTAAAGCATTGATATAAGGAATCATCAACAGAAGTGCGTTTATAAATAACATTATTGAACAAAACTGAAATCTTTTGCATGATATTGAAATAATATTTAAAACAAAATAATAATGTACATGCAATATTTTGTATACAATGAGACAGCTTTTGTTAAATACAAAGGGATAATGAGCTCCTAAACAAACAAAAATGTGCATTGCTGGAAGCAGATAAATCACAGACACAATAATAAGTTCCAGAAAGACAAGAAAAATAAGAAAATTGTGATTTGGTTTCAAATTCAAGAAAACTGTTTTTACATCCAAAATGTGTACAAAACAAAAGGGAGAGTTCTCTTGATATACACCACAGAGTATGACAGAATCGTAAGCTTGAGATTTTCCACAAAATTAAATTTAGATCTTGATTTATCTAAAACAATCACCAATATTGATTGATATAAGAATTGATATAAGAATTGATATAAGAATTGATATAGGAATTGATATAGGAATTGATATAGGAATTGATATAAGAATTGTTTTAAGCCAGATCCTATTTGTTTTAATCCCTGCACCAAAATATATATTATTCATTGGTTTAAACTATGGTCACAAACCAGAGCACTTCATGTTTTCAGGGTATCGCTCGGTCGCCGCTGAAGTTTTAGCGCGGAGTTAAGATTCGGCGGCGCCTGATCTTTTCGCTTGCCGCCCAAAATACGCACGGTGCCCGGGCGTTTGTCGCCCGACACCGACCTAATCGAGCGTTCGCCGTCGAGCGATTTAGGTCAAAAATCGTAGCCGCTAGGTCAAAGGCTGTCGAGCGGTCGCCGCCCAGTCGCTGCCCGGTCGTCACTGGGAGATTAGTCGGTCACTGGGCGGCGAGTTCGAAAGCGGTCGGCAACCTTTGACCTCGCAGCTTCGATTTTTGAGTCTATCGCTCGACGGCGAACGCTCGATGACCGGGGAGGGGCGACTGCCCGGGCACCGAGTGTATACCGGTGCCCCGCCGATCATCGGCCGGCCGGCGGGCACTTTCTTTAAAATCAGCCGGTGGCCGGTGGGAGACCGCTCGGGAATCGTTTGGTCATCAGTCGGTCACTGCCGGGACGCCGCCCAGAGAAGGCGAGAAGCTCCCCGATTTCGCCCAGTTTTTACATAAAATGACCGGCGATCGACGGGATATCGACAGGGCACCGCACAGACATCGCTTGGGGCTCTACAACCCGATAGACTTTTCAACAAAAAAAAATCGTTTAGCGATGCCTAAATTCCAGCGGCGACCGAGCAGGCTACAAATCGGTCGGTCGTCGCTCTGAGTTGTGACCATAGATTAAGGTTTTACAATTGTGCATGTGGAGGAAAAACATGAAAACATAAAGCTACAGGTCCAACCCTTATCAAATCATGAAATTTAAAGCCACACTATTAACAAAAGAACCCTCGAAATGTATAGCTATTTTAAAGACAATGCCCTTTTTATTTATTTGTTAACAAACTTGATTAGTTTTAAAGCCCCCCTGCACTACTTATAGCTACTTGCGCCCTCTACACAGCCAAAAATGCCTAATCTGTACCCTTTGACCCCAATGATGCCCCTTTCCTTATGGTAATTGAGAGCTGATTTGAAGAGATAACCACCTGCAAGTGACCTTGCAGGGAGGTCTAATCCCTCCATGCCAAACTAGTGCAGAGGGGCTTTAAAAGGTGATATGATTTTCCCCTCCCCCTTTTCAGTAGCAAATTTGCATGACTCCGTGTTGATGTGAATTGACCTGGAGGCAACATAATCTACTCACAGTGCAATGTGCTCATTAAAACATCAAAAATTAGCAGGATGTACTTACATAGGAGGCTGATTCTATATTCCATTATGTCATATATACATATGATAGTCCTTCAAATATAAGTATAAAGTTACGGGAATGGAATAAACAATCTGTTAATAAGGTAAACAGGATTTAGGATTCATAATCAAAGTATCCAATAGGAAAATATATCATGTCACCTATACATAAAAATAATTAGTAAGTCCTCAATATCATGTATCATGAATGACAAATAATGATTTCACGTTTAAAAATGCTGCTTCCTTGGATGATTCCACCCAAAATAAGAAATGTTTCTTAACCAAAGTAATGATTCTTTCGATTTGTGCGTAATCCTCATGCCTTATACATGTATTTACAAAATAGTACTTTTCTTCAATACAAGTGATTTTTATGCTCCTTGAAAATAAAGGAATCACAGAGGCACTAAATCTTAAGTTGTCTATCCATTTCACTGCAGCAGACGACACTTGAATCATATTCTAGGGTTTTGGTAAATGACCTTTCAGTTTCTGGTGCCTTTTCAAAGTCCCAGGTGTTTTGAATGAGAGAGTGCATACCTTACACGTGTTGGGGAGATCCTGCTTGTGACGGTCTAGATGAGCCTTGAGGGAGCTGAAGACCTGGTAGCGAACGCCACATATCTTGCACGCATACTGCTTCACGATCCAGTGGTCATTCAGATGTTCCTTTACTTCTGTCAATGTTAAAAACTTCCGACTGCAGTTCCGGAATGGGCAAGGACCTCCTCTCAGTTCCTTTAAATGCATTTTGTTGATGTGAACCACCAGGGGGCCTGGTAAGGAGTCAGAAAACTCACATAATCTGCATTCAAAGCTCTGTTTCTCACACTTGTGATGAATTCTTTGATGTGCCGCAAGTGACGAGGTATCGTTGAAGTAAATATCGCAATGATGACAATAGTCTGCCCCTGTCTGTAGCGTGTTTGATATTTCCTGGGAAAGTTCTTTACTACCAAGTCTTTCAGGCATGTCAACTTTGGAAGAAATGTTTGGTGTAACCTTGGAACCCGATGTACCCAGTCCCATTTCTGCAGTTACCGAAGCTTGAAATTCATCACCAAACCTTGCATGACTTTCAGGATTGTTGGTGATGCTGTCAGCCTTTTCAGATGCAGCTTTAGCCCTGTACTTTTCAAAGTGTACTTCATTTACATGGTTTTTCATTTCTTGACGAGAAGTGGTTCCAAATTCACAAAATTTGCACTGTTTATTTACAGGCGCTTCTTGCAGAGACGCCTCAAAAGTCTTCTTACTGCCTCTTGGTCTTCCTCTCTTACGACGTCCAGAAGGCAACAGAGAAGCTGCAGGTTGTGTCACATCACTGGCTGTCCTTACTGCAGGCATCTTCGAAGGAGTCAAGCCAACAGACTGCATCAAGTATGCTTCATGGGCCCGCTTGTATCGCTTCTTTGGGCACTGACTCATATCACTCACTGGCTGACTATCCTTTGGGAAATTTGATTTCAACTGCTTTAAGTTATCTTCCACTTGCAAGTCAGATGCAGCGACTGCAATATTGGAAGTTGAAGAACTCCTCAGCATATTTTGGGGATCAATGCAGGCACCATCAGGTTGATTTTTGTTGCTCTCGAAACCCACAGCTGGGCTATCATTGCTTGTATATCGTGAAATGCTAGAGCTGTGCCTCACTTCAGTATCATCACTTCTTGTTCTTCGAAGGTGATATGATACATGCAAAAATTGATCTTGAGAATCAGCCAGCTTCTTCGCATTGGTTTCATCTGGAACCTGTTCTAGTCTGTGATGAACTGCTACTGTTGTCTTTGCAGACTCACCAGCTGTTAGAGTTAAGCTCTTCTTAGGGATCGTAGTGAGATCAATAAGTGGAATGCTTGAAGTACCTGTGGCTGGATTGACATATGTGTTACAGGTTTTTGCAATTTTTAGGCCAGGCCCTTCAGAAGTGAGTCCATGGTCCAGCAGATCACTGAAAGCATGAGGTTGTCCAACTCTTTCAATACACACATTTCTGTCTATTGCTACATACTGTTCTGGAACTGTTATCACATCTACCATTTGTTCATTTTCTGGTACAAACTCTACTGGGGTAGTTGATTCACCAGACTTCCAAGGATGTCCAAGCTTACTTCCAAGCAATTCAGTGTTCAAATCTTGCCTCGAGATATTCCGATCTTGATGGGACACATAATCAGTTTGTACAGGGCTTCTATCATGGCGACTGTCTACTGTAGTGTAAGTGTTGCTAGAATGAGACATTTCTGATTGAATGCTTCGAGCTTCATTTCTATTTGCCTCTACAATATCACTGCCAGGATGTTCTGATTGTGATCTTGAAAGAGTAACCTGTATCCTGCTCTCCTCAATAACCTCACGATGGAACCGTGCTACAATCTGCTCTCGTGACTCAGCATCCCACATTCTTGGTTTGCAAGACAGATCAAGAGGAGCAATGGGGTTTTGTTCAACATGTACCTTTGTTCTTGCTTTACAGGTAAGGTCAAGTGGCATCTCTTCTTCAGGAGCACTGTTCTTCTGCAACATCTGAGATGTTTGAATGTCCATTTGTCCTGGAAGAGTTGATTCACCGATGGAGTTTGGTGTAGATGATGGAGTACAGTGACTCCTTGGTGTTGATGTTCTTGACAGAGATGCTCTTTCTAACTCTGTTGATACTGGTTGGTGAGACAGAATGGTTAAGTTATCACTGGTATATGTTGTAGAGGTGGTATTCGATTTTGGTGTAGGAGTTCGGCTGTGCATTCTGGGAGTGGGAGTTCTTGATGTCGTGTGGCATAAGTTAGTAGCAGCACCTGTCAAAGAGCTACCTTGATTGCTTTGCACTGTGTGTGGATGATACAACACATGCTGGGAATCAACCATGTTCATTCTCTGGCTCGATAAGAAACGATCAAATGCAGGATTCGGCAGTTGATGTATTAATTGATTTGAAGTCTGTGAAGGATGCTGAATCAGAGTAGGGCTCTGGTTGAGCCCCATAATTGGTAAGACATGTGGGGTTTCCAGGAGAGAAACGCATGAAGTCTGACTTCCCAATAGATCTTGACCGGCGTGATCATTTTTAATGGCTCCACATCCACCATGAAGTTGCCTCAACATATCAAGTGCTATATCTTGATCAACCGGGGCCTGTGTAGGTTCTTTGCCAGGATTAGACTGCGGCTGTTTTACAGTTGAGACTTGCATTGGCGTGCTTGATTTCCTTGCAGGCTGAAGATTTTGTTGAAGATTCGTGCGGGGTGGAATTCCAGCCTGCGTACCATCAGGATAGACAGCAATCAATTGTTCTTTTGGCCCTGAAGTAGTATACACTGGAATATTGTCTGCATATCCCAAATGATGATGGGCAGGCGAATACCTTACTCTGCTGGTTTCTCCTTTGTCATGGATTTGCTGATTTTGAAATTTTGCTAGGTTTCTGGGTAGCTGGTCTGCGATTGGAGGGCTAAATGTTCCAGCTGTTGCAACCCTGCTACCATGAAATTGTGGCCTCTCATACTCTTCATGGCCTAATCCGACCGACATGCCCTGAGCTCCAAAGTGATTGGGATTTGTTCCAATAGGTAAATTTCTCTGAGGAGATGGTCGAAAATATTCCAAGTATGTGTGATTAATTGTCACAGCAGTGTTCTCTCTTTTTGGTACATTTGCATTTCGCTTTTCTCTGTCTATTTGCGACTGCATACGTAGCTCTGCTAGTTGATTTAACGCTAACTCCCTTTCTGATGGATAGGTCGCAGAATTTTGCCGAGAAGTACTCCTTTGATTGGGGTTAGGTAATTGACTTTGGGGTTGATGGTGCATCAGGTTTGGCAGATCTGGTGCAACAAGCTTTTCTTTACTCAGCAGGTGTTGTTTGAGCTCGTCGCAGGTTCCTGACTGTTTCAAATATGGATTCCTCAGTTGTATCATAGGTACAGGGGGTTGTTGTTGGAGGAAATGTGAAGATTGTTGCGAAGGATTTAAAAAGTAAGTTCTATTGGTGTTAAGCTGGGGTCTTATTTGAGTTTTGTTATTTCTAGGTGTACCAAAGAAGGTTGCTTTATCTTGGGGAATGTACTGGGGAATGTACTGAGGAATGTGCTGCACAGTCTTTGCACCTATGTCAACCTCTTCAGCTGAACTTTGTACTGTATGCTGCATTTTTTTACCCTCTCTTTGAGGATCTGTCATGCATCCAGAGGATGAAATGGTTGACTGAATTTCCACCATCGGAGTAACACCTTGGTTGCTTGGCAGACTCCCAGATGGGACTAAGCTCTTCAATGCAGCTGTAGCTGATGCACTATACAATTCCTTGCCAGCTGATAGTGTCCTAGGATCATCACCAGCGATCATTACTAGATCCTCTACTCTTGAAGTAGCTATGACCACTGGTTCAGGACCTCCGTTCAAGGGCTCTCCGACTTGACAGTCATCACTACTTGGCCTCTTCTCTGAATTAGAATCTCCCAGTGTTTCTGCATTAGTTCCAATTGGTTTCATTACTACAGATTGATTGGCTTCAGCAGGACTTGACTCATTGATGTGAGAAAGATGACTGTGTGAACTCTTGGAAATGGGGAGTTTGCATGTAGTATGGCTAACCAATTGTGTCTTCTGTGGTGATTTTGGTTTCTCTAAATCCTGATTGATTTCTTTCTCTACCATTGGATCGTCTACTTCCAGATGGTTCCTTCTTCCAGATGGTTCCATAACAATGGCCTCCTCTTGCAGCAGTGATTGTGAGTTTTCACCTGGTACTGATTCCTCATTTTCTGACAGCTTTGTGGCTGTGTCAGGAGACTTACTCCCAAATACGACATCTGAATCAGCTACAAAGGTCATTTTGATATGTTTCTTGTCTCCTTTTTCTGTTGGATTTTGTTTCTTGTGTGATTTCCTTTTGCCTTTTGCAAGGTGTCGATCTCTAGATCTCTTTCTTTTCTTTGGATTAGTGAACTTTACAGTCCATTTACAGGCAGTTGAAGTTAATGAATGTTCTACATCTTTTCTGTGTCTAGTTGTGTGTAGATTTGGCACATCTTGTACAGTTGATGAAGGTACCCCAACCTGAGCAACATTATTATCATTGCATTCATCATGATCATTCCAGTCATCCCCATCACTGAGTGGGTATGGTATAGTAGCACCCCCTGAACTTGTTGTAGACATAGCATCCTCATCATATCCCCCTACAGTTTCCTCACAGGCAACTGACAGCATGTCCATTGTCCCTTCACATGTTGATCCTCCCAAGTACACGAAAGGATCTTCATTGGCTTGTTTCTTTGCATCAATAAGATTAACAAGCCCCTCTGATGTTTGGGAAAAATTTGAATAAGTAATATCATCTTTAAGATTGTTCCCATCTTGTGAAGTATCAGTCTGGTTTGCCGAACTTTCAAATGAACCATTTGGATGGGTAGGACTACAGAGAGATTCAGGTAGAACAGTTGGCTCTGTTGTAACACTTTCTTTAGGACAGTCCTGTCCCAAGTATTCTGCTGTCAACTCTTTTTGGCTCTGGTCAAGTTTAGAAGTTTCTAGTTCTTCCAAATTGGACTGCAGGGAAAGTTGATGATCTGCAGACTGATCCTTAACCATGTCTCTGTCCTTTGTTAAGCTGGGCTGAGGATTACTTTCCTCCTTCTCACAATTCTGTATTTCTTGTTCAATGGAAGAGTTAGACTGCTGAAGAGCATCAACTACTTGATTTTGCTGCATTTGTGATAGTGATAATGGTTGCGAATCTTCAAAGTCAGATTCATTTTGTGAATCACTGGAAAGTGGATTGTCATTTTCCCTTTTAGTGCTATCTGACTGTGCAGGTTCCTGTTGTTCATTACTTTTAGTCACGTCAGTTTGACCGCCTCTTTTGTCAATCCTGATCGGACATAATTCCTCGACATCAGGACCAGTAGACAAAGTTGACTGAGGTTCCTTTATTTGTTCTTGTAACTCCATCGCATCGGAACAGTCTTCAGGCTTTGATGGCACAGTGGTAACCTCATCTGTGTCCTCCTTAGACTCCAATGTGGCCTGTAACTGTTCACTAGCTGTTAAGCTTGCATGTTCAACTTTTGCATATGAATCTTGCAGGACACCCACATCTACTAAGTCCTCCTCATTATCATCTGATGAGCTTTTAGATTCCTTCTCTGTATCCTTACATGATGTTTCTACTGTTGCGGGACATTCCTCTGATATGACTTCCTTTTTGTGCAGATCTTTTTCAGGTTCCTCTTCCTGGAATTCGGTTTCCTTACACTGCATTATGGGAGGATGTTCTTCACCTTTGTGATTTTCTTCTTGGGAGGCTCTATGTATAGAATCTTCACTAGCTCGTTTGTCAAGGTTATCTTCAGGTGTTTCTGACAATCTAATGGTCCGTTTTTCTTTCCTTTTACAGGCTTCAGAATCTGCATCGTTGGAAGGTCTGACATGGTTTAGTAAATCAGTAGCACCGCTAGAAAGTTCTGCTGTATCTTGACCATTTAGTGAAGAGTCTCCTTCTTGGACGTTTGTATCAGCTTTGCAGTCATCGGAAATCTCAATATCACCTACTACAGAGTGAGCAACTTTCTCTTCATCAACTAATTCTGGTGAGCATCTATCAAAAGTGGAGTTGGGTAGTTCTTTAGGATCAGCCACATGTTGTGATTCTTGACGTAAGCTATCAGCATTATTTTTATCAGTAGGGTGTGCTTCATGTATTGGTATCCCTTTATCGACTGCGGTGTTGCTTTGCAGATGCTCATCATTCATATCTTGAGAAGTATTGGGCTTCTCAGAACTCTCATCGTTGCATTCTGCAGGATTGTTCCCGTCACTCGATTGTTCATCTCTTCCTTCCATTCCAGGCGCCATATCAACCTCCTCAGTAACAGATTTTGAATGTGTTTCTTGTTGATCCATTTCTTGCATCTCTGTGTCATCTACCACACTGCTTTCCTTTTGGTCTATTTTGTTGTCCACATCTTGCATCACTTTGCTATCAGGCACACTGCTTTCATCGTTTTGCTCAGAGATGTTGCCGCTGTCCAGTGTAATGCCATTCTTTTCTTGATCATTTTCAATGATATCTGCTTGTTTTACATGTTCTGACCAAGTTTGGTGTAATGGCTTTTGTGATACATGGAATTCTTGAATAGCAGTGGCATTTCCATTTAGTTCTTCAGTGGTGTCTATAGAATCTGGCATAGGAAGATTCTGAAGCTTGGTAGAAGGGCTTTTCTTACAATCCTGAAATCCCACACCTCTACTGGGACTTGAATTACCAGATGCTGACATGCTTGGGGATGATGCTGAACTTACTAAATGGTTGGGCGAAATACCAAGATTAGGAAAGGAATTCTGAAACTGCATATCATCACATTGGTCTGTTTGTTTCTCCTGTATTTCAGTTGGAGTGCTCAGCACCTTCCGATCATTATGGATACATTCCTCCTTGGAAGTCGAAGACTCACTGATTGCGATGTGGCTTGGGGATTGTTCCTCTAATAACTTGACATGTGGATGTATGGTGTCATCTTCATCTGGAGTCTCAAACTCGAATTCTTCCTCATCGTCTGCAACACCAGCATCTTCCTTCTGGAGATCTTGATCAACTGCTTCAGCTGCATCAATTATGTCAGTTTCAGGCTGAGGTGGATCTGATCCTAAGGGCCAGTTATGAGAAAAATCTTCAACATTGACATTCTCTCGTGGCTTATCAAACTCTGAGGTAACGTCAGATGGGTTCTCAAATTCAAATTCATCATCATCATCGAGGCAAGTACCATGGAAAGCTTCTTTTTCTAATATCGGTAAGGTGTCAGAACCCCCAGAGTGTGGACTGTTGTGGGAAGCGTAGCCATATTGACCACTACCCCCATAGGCCTCGAGGCAAGGTATCTCAGGGTCTGATACACTCAGTTCTTGATGCCATTCATCTTGCTGTATGAAATAACTGAAATCAGACGCATCCAAGTTTCTACCCTGATTAGAAGTTTGAGAATTCAAAACGCTTCCCAATGCCTGGAATATGTTTTTCCTCTCCCTCCTTGGCAAAATAGATGAATCGTCAGTAACTTTCACTGGAACATTATTAACACTGGTAGTTGAATTGGCTCCACTGTGTTGAGTTTCCATGTCTCCAAAGTGTGTACAGCTACTTGAGAGTTCATCTTTTGACAAGGAAAAGGTCTTCGCAATTCTCACTTGTGCAAGTCCATCTGATTCTTCAGTAGAACCGTCTGTGGCTACTATGGATACATTCTCTGAATTCCCTGGATTACCTTCAGTAATACTTTTTTCGCTTTGATCTCTGCCACACATGCTTTCCTTTCTCATTACTGGAAGCACACAAGGAGATCTGGTCCTGTCCAACATTTCTTTGGAGCTGTCTGTAATTGTAGAACCCTGATGAAATTGTGGCATATGGAGATTTGATGAAGGTGATGAAGCGACAGCTTCGGAGAGGGGATCCGGAGCAGAAGATGACAATGAAATGGTGACGTTGCTTGGGCTCTGACATGCTTTCTGGATGCTAGGCTCTTCTGGAGTTTGAGGACATTCATCTCCTGATATTGTTGAGAGGCATTCATTTGATCCTGGAGGAGTCAAGCATGTAACGTCTTCACTCATCCCTTGAAATTCTGATGATGGTTTGTCCTTCCAAGCTAGTGTCCGCATAGCACTGGAAACATGGCCACTGTCATCTTTTAGAGGATTAGGTTGTGTATTATGTAATAATGATACATCCGTCTTCTGTTGTCTGCTTTCAATTAATTTTGGAACACAAAACGGATTGCTGTTCCTATCCGTTCCAGGAAAGTTATCATCAATAAGTCTTTCTTGTTGCAGGGGCAAGTCTTTTTCCACATGTGATATGATACATCCACTTTCCTGATGTAGTATGTCAAGTTTCTGGACATGAAATACTCTATGTGCTTCTTCCTGGCAGTTTTTCTGTGATGGCAACATGGTCGTTGTGTCCTTCCGTGGCCTCCCACGACTCTTTTTCGTTTGAGGTTCCTTGTTACCTTGTACAATGTCCAAACGATCCAAATTTCTTGATGTTATCATTTCTGACCTGTTCCTACAGTGTTTTCTATGTGGTAATACTGTCCTTGACTGGAACTGCTTTGCTCCTACCGCATCATCAATTTTCTGCTTTGGAGGTCTTCCTCTTTTACGTTGTGGCTGGTCTGAGAGTGGAGTAGTTGGCTCACACAAAATCTCGTCTGACGAATCAGTGAAATCATAAACACTTATGGATTCACCAAGATGTTTACCATGTTTTGATAATGGTTTCCATTTTTTCCTTTTCGCAGATCGATTCACATATGTGGGAGCAGGAGGCAAAGGAAGGTTTCCAACGAAATGAAAGTTCAACAGCTTTGGCTTGTTCTGTGACTTTTTTGGAGTATTTCCTTTTTCTTTCACACATGCTAAGTGGCCATTGGCTGGAGAAATTGTAGATGATAGGCTTTCACATGCTTCTTTATCATTAGTCCTTTGTTCGCTTGCCTTTGGCTCAACTGATATAGAAGTATCTCCAGGATCGCCACATAATTTAGTCCTGCAACTTTGTGAAATTTCCTCTTTGGATTCCTCGATTTCTTGAGGAATTCCTTCTGCTTCTATCCATTCACCATTGATTTCTTCTTTGGAATCCACGATTTCTTGAGGAAATTCTTTTGCTTCTAACGATTCACCATTGATTTCCTCTTTGGCTTCCTCGATTTTTTCCGCTTCTTTCAACTCACCATTGATGCATTTTGAATTTTCAACTGTTCTCTGAGAGTAGGTTTTACCAATACAAGGTGTACTGTTCCTTTTATGAGAATGGTAGAACTGTTTCTAGCAACTCGTCCTAAAACATTGGCATATCTAGGGAATCTCTTGGACACTCCTAAGTCTCTTGATTTTGAAGGAAGCAATCTTCTCAATGGGTAATTACGAACTATGTCATCCTTTCTAGCTGTGGAGCCAACCTTTGACTTTTTACAGGGGTGATTTCTTTGACTCTTTGTTGCACTAGACAAACGACTAACAGGAACAGCAGTAGGAATTACATTTTGTGCGTTGCCTTTGTCAGGTACTCCATTCTTTGGTGGCCTACCACGCTTTCTTGGTTGATAGACAGTTGATAGGCTATGGGGCTTCTTAGTAGAGCCTATGTTTTTTGCGACTGTACCACCTACATCTTTAAGATTCTTTGGTGGCCTTCCACGTTTCCTCTTGATGTTGACTACCCGTTGTTCAGGTACATTCTCTGTTCTTATGAGGGGGACATTTCCCTTGACTGCTTTGCTTGATTTCAATTCAGATTGCAATAGTTCGCTGTCATTGGAAGTGTTTTCCAGTGCCCCCTCATGGGGAAATGATGTACCCAAATCTAAGTCATTCTTGTAAGTCAATCCACACCTGGTTTCAACCACATTTCCATTTCTAATGTCTTGGCCATTCTCATTGTGTCCTCTGAAGTTTTCTTGGATTTGTTGTCTGGGAACAAGACCAGGAAGAGACAAATGCAGCTCTCTCTTTAGACGAACAAGGGGAGATAGAAGCTTTAGGCTAAAGTTATCATTGAATTTTGAGATAATGTCATGATCACTTATACCTAATTGGTTATGGTAATCATCACTCTTTCCTAATTGGTTATGTAAATCATCATTGCTCTTCTCTACCATTGTTTTTTCATCATCTATACTTTGGAGGCCTTTAGGATGAAAGGTGTTTTCGGAACTCGTCTCACATCAATCACTCTTGTCTCTTTCATTTCCACCTGTTTAAATGAATCCAGGCAAACTCGGTGGCATAGAGATTGTGTAAGAAGACTGGCTCCTGTATGTCTCGCAGTCCTTTCTCAAAGATGTCAGGGCAAGGAATTTGCAGATCTGAAGAAAAAAATAAAATTGGAAGAACAAGAGTTTAATTCTTTCCCTCTGTCATCTGTCCATTAATCTTTAAGAAGATATCATGAGAGTACTTCATTTTCTTCGAAGAGTGATAATCAATGCTTAAAAATATGTCCAGATTTGAAAACAAAAGTGTTGTATCAATTTTCTCTCTATTTAGCTATCAAGGTATCTCCTCCCAATTTCGGAGGTTGATTGCAACATTTTTCACACATCTCTGTTTTCTGCCATCCTACGGAACCTTTAAACTCTTACAGCGTCATATTTCACTCCATGTCTCATTCCCCCTCTCTCTAAGACAAGACAAATTGGGGCTTTATATTGTTTTTAAAGCTATGAAAACTAAGGACAGAAAAGACATTTTGAAATGCTCATTGAATGATTTTTGAATTGGAACGACAATACAATAATGTGTGCAAGATCATGACATCATCAATATTAAATAATATAGCAGAATCAACAGGAACTCAAAACTTAGCCCTGTCAAATGTATAATTACAACTGCATAATGCTCTGGCATAAAGTATGTGCAGATCAACTAAGTGAGAAAACACACACACACATATATGCAAATACAAGTCTACAAAACAAAGATGAATTAAAAGTCATATCTAATGGTAATAATGTTTATAGCTCTCATGATTACTGTATGAGAAAGGTGCTCAATAATGATCACACATTCTCATCATAACGGGGGAATAAATTCTAAATAACTGAACTTACAGATTTTAATACTATTGTATCTCCTATCCTCATTCATTTTAGAAATCACAAGCATTCTTTAAAAAGCTAATATATGGAGAAACACACATATTTACATCAGGAAGTATTGTTTGAAGTTTAACCACACATATTTGCCTTTAAAATGGGGGAAAGTGTATAATACATTTTCAACCTACTCCTTTAATGGGGCATCTTTTCAAATACATGTACCGGTACTCATACCAAACCATTTCCTGTGCAGGGAACATGAAATACAAGTCAAAATTCATGATATCTCTTGTAAATCAGAAGACTTATGACCCCTCACCCCTCAATGATCGGAATGGGAGGATATACACCTCTTCCTACATGGACAAAATAATCAGTCAAAATAACAAGCATATTATTTAACCAATGAACAAAGTTTCATACATACATATATAAAGTTATTTCACAGCAACATACTTACTTACTATAAGTGTACCAAAAACAGGGAAGTATAGAAAGTAAAAACAAACAGATACACATACAAAGCTCAGTTGTAACAATGCTGGTTAAACACAAATTATGCATCTGTGGATCTAAAAACCAAATACTACTTGTGTGAGTCTTTCCTACTCCCCTTTAAATTCTTTCAGCAAAACCAATCATGTATAGCTTAGCGTTGGTGTGCAACAATACACGTTCCTTTGGTTTTGTGTAAAGAATTGAAAACCATCAAACTAAACTAACAATGCCTTCTTACATTCAAGTTACTCGAGCATGAAGCAGTATAGCGTCACAACTAAATCTTACCACATTCAGGCAAGCTACAGATAAATTTCTTTCACACACCTTAAAATGTCCCCTGTGATGGTATAACATCAACAGTTAAAGTGTAACAAGTGATCAGACAATTGCACTCGTGGGTACTCATAGAAGTAGGGGCCGGGTGGTCGTTATCATCATGCTCTAATGCTCCTACAACAGGTACAGAATTCTATACGTGTATGGCACTTCCATAATCATGAAGTTGATGTGCTAAAGGCAATTTGTGTAACGAGAGCGGTTTGTATCTACGCCAATGCAATCAGAATTGATTAGTCATATGCAGTCATTCTAGTGGTCTCCTGCTCAACATAATTGAAATGGATATGAAACCATGGTTCTATCTGAGGTACAGTGCACCGTTTCAATGATGAATAAATGTACAGTACAATGGCAAGTTTATTTAGGTTGCGTTAGTTGGTGGTTCACTATCGTAAGGGTATTTAAATGCTCAAAGAAAGCAGAAAATTCTGTTTTGGGATCAAGGATTGGTCATCTCATACAATTCTCTCCATAGGTTGCCTTCATATTTGATTTTCATCTTTTAAATCTAACTTGGATTTAGAGATACACGTCAGCATATATACTTTTATACAACCAATACTTGGATGAAGCGTTTTGTTTCTTTATCAACATATTACCATACATTAGATTATAAAATACATGTTATTGATTTCGCTCTTTAATTACTAAAAAATGGGGTGAGGTCTGATGTTATGTCTTATTCTACACATATATCACCCTTATAAAAAAATTCCATGGTACACTGTATTTTGGCTATGGTACATTTACCATGGTACTACCATCGTAGTACCATTACAATTATTACGGTATATCACAAATATAGAGCCATGGTAGTACAGTCTGTATCATGGTAGTAATATATATATATATATATATATATATATTTTTGTAAGGGCTGTCAAGGTCGGGACAATCAAGGTTGGGACAATCATACCAATTTTCCTCCACCGATTACCAATGGAAAAGCAAGAAAGAGTCTGATAACTCATTACCTGGATGGCATTCAGCTAAGCAATTAAGTTAACTGCTCATCCCATTGCGACTGATATAACAATAGCAAAGTTGCAGGTTTACACTTTACTACCAGCCGCTTAGTATGCTTGCTCTCTGATGCATTCATACAATTTCCTAATCAATTAGTTTGAATATTGAAATTCAGTAAGGAGCGTAGCAATCAATATAATTGCTATTTTATTTTGAGTTCAAATATGAGTCATCAATAATAGATGGATGCGTATTATTTCTCTCTTTTTTAGCATGACGTATATCCTTGTGGAAAGCTGCAAAGCATTAGCCAGGGAACATAATGCAATTGTCCAAAATGCAATTAATTCACCAGCATTAGATCGTGGTTATGTAGGTTTGAGAATGAGTGAGTGAGTGAGTGGGTATGTGTATGTGTGGGTGTATGCTTGTGGGTGTTGTGAGTGCATGCATATTTTGTATTGTATAAATTACAGTATATTTTGCATGCCATTTGAGGAAAGTTTTGGAACGTATGATCAGTGCAATGGTAGAAGTGTTGGTTGAAACAGTAATAAATTAGATTTCCTGGATCTTCCATACAAATGGGTAACAAGCCTAATGAATGATTAACTTTAAAAAAAATTGTCAAGATTAATGGTGAATGCTGGTTTTATAGAAGTGCTAAGGTAATGCAGCTGGCTTGTTAATTGTAATTACATCACTATTGAGATCTATCAATTCACACATAATACTGCTCTATTTCCCTTCATTGATCTCACAATAAAGAAATCTGAATTAAGAAAACTGTTGTAGAAGGGAAATATATTTGTCTAGCAGAACAGATATGCTTGACATTTTTTGTCCAATTTGAGAAGAAAAAAAAAATTATCATTAAATTATTCGGCCGTCTGGAGCACAAAGATAAAAAAGGATATCCTTCAAAAAAAAAATGGCCTTGACCGATGATATTTTTTGAACATCTGGCCAAAAAATATTTGTTAAGCATCCGGCTAAAAACTGCATATGTAATAGACAATGAATACAGAGACATTCTTTTCAAATCAACAAAATTGTCATTTAAATTGACCACAGATCACACTATACTTCAACAGATGCAAAAGAGGTTGAAAAAAACATAAAAATAACCACAAATTATGCCCGCGTCATCAACCGCTATGGTGCGTGCCCGGGAAAAAATTATCATCAACATGCATACTGCCTCATCTCAATCTACAAAATGGCTGATGAAACAAATTAAACAAAGTTTTACCTACACGATACCACTGAAAATACAAAAAAAGTCACTGCCAGGCTGACACCATTCCTCTAGTCATAATATAAAACAACACATGCAACATATGTATGAATAGAAATTCAGATCAACATGATGGACAAGAGAAATCGAGTTTGGGTTTGGGCTTTTGACAGTCACTTGAATGGGTTCAAATTAGGGTTATTTTTTTGATGACTTTACTATTTTACTGAACATGCGGAGTGTTGTCATCTGGTCATGCTACAGTGAAAAAATATATACTGAAGAGTGGAGAGCAATGACTGCCAAAAACACGTCAACATGAGCTGACGAAAAGGGAAACAAAGCTATGAAAACAACGATGACAGAAATCCTTGCCTTTACGAACATCTTCCCTTTCCTCTGTGTAAAAAAGAGTTATTCCTACATATTCATTCAACACAATGTACTATAAACCACAAGTCTCTGACTTGTTTGAGAAGGCAAGGGTTATAGGGGTCGGATGCAGTTTTAACTTCTAAGAAAGAATGCATTGTACTACAGTTGGTACCAAAGTTGCGGATTTACATATACCACAGAATAGGATACAACCAAAATGAAATTCCATCAATAAGCGGAAGGTCAACTGCCATAAATACCACATTAGAAGCCATATGTGAACGACCAGCAACAAAAACAGCTACAAAAAGCAACCGGCACTTATAGAACATCAGTGAATACATGTATGAATGTACTCACCTTCGCAATGAGAAGAATACTCATGGTGAAGGGCATAAAATCAATAACATGGATGTATGGATGAGACATCATGATGTGTTTAGTCATGCTCACTATAGTCTACTTTGTATAAACCATTCTTGCACGAGCAGTAAAGCTACTCCCCTAGCCAAAGCCATCATGCAGGGAAAGAGCTGATGCTCACAATACGGAATAAAAATGAAATTAAGCCAACGTTTCAATATACATTTCTATAATGGACATGGGCTGGGGAACCTGATCGCTAATCACATCCTGACACGTTGCCTGCGACACTTCACTCCACGACACACAAAGAGCGTGATCCTCCTCCTAAATGAAACCATGGTAACCGCATCATTTTCATAAGAGGTTGGATGGAGAGGAAGGGGGGGGGGGTGCAAGGCATGTATGAGTAATCATCCCACCCAATACCTGGATGTATGTGTGTGTATTCAGTAATTTGGCAGGTTAAATCCAAACCTATTCATCA